GTCGACGATGCGGAGGTGTTGTTCTAGCTGGCAACGGGAGCCGGTTAGAATGTGTGCAGTTGTGGGACTGCACGAGAGTGTTTGGGACTCGCTGAGTCTCAGAACACTGAGTGACGTGTACATATTTTCTATTTTGGAACGACCACGGGTTGTTCTTTGGGTTTTACGGAGTTGGGTATTTTGGGAACGTCACGAGCATACGAAGACTGAGTGTGTCAGTTTGGAACGTGAAGGAGTTTGTGAAGCATCAGTTTGGGACGTGAAGGAGTTTGTGAACAATCAGTCTGGAAAGTGAGGAAGTTTATGAAGCGGTAGTTTGGAGTCCGAGGGAGTTCGGATGCGTCGGTTGGGAACAAGAAGAAGTGTTCAAGAGAGATTCGTTGACGATAGAAACGGAGAGTTAAGAACAAGGCACGACAGCGAGAAACGACGGAACGTTACGGTTAAAAGGAAAAGAGAGCTACGAACGGCTACATCGCAAAGACGTGCTACTTGGCGGCCTTCTTCTGGTCCCCTTCCTCTTCGTCCTTGTCGCTTTCCTCGTCGCCGTCCTCGTGCTCGACGAATTCCTCCTCTTCCTGCTCGTCTTCGTCGTCGGCGGCTTCGGACTCCTCGTCGTCGTTACCTGAAGCGTCTTCGCCGTCGGCCGCAGCTTCCTTCTCTTCGTACTCGCCTTCATCTTCGAACTCGGACCACTCGTCGCGGCGACGTTCCGTACCGGACGGTGGACGGACAGCGATGTCACTTGGAAATTGATGACGATGTGGGGAGCGTTAGCGGAATGGGCGGAACAGGCGAACTGGACGATGGACTTCGAAGTGGCGGACGAGATGAGGGTCGTCGGCAGCGCTGTGATGGGGATAGTGATCTGGATTGCAACGACGCCTCTGCGGAACGTGTCGTGGGCGTTCCTCGACGGAACGATCGAGAACGTACGTGCCATCTACTTTTTCTGGTACACTTGCTGCGATCGCTACTTGGTGGCGGCTCGAAACGCCCATGCCGCAGCTGTGCCACCTCCGGAGTACGCGTGCGCGCTAGTAAAGCTACTGTTCTTGGTTCCTATCGCGGTGCTACAGGACTACGAATCCCGCTTTGGGATTACCGGTCGAATGTGCCTTAAGTGGTGTGAGGCGTTCCACCATTCGTGCTGCCTGTACGTTCCAGAGGCGAGTCTTTTGCTATGGGGAACGTCCTGCCGGTACGCTCGTGCCACCAGCGAAGCTGTGGTAGCCGTTGTGGATCGAGTTGGAGATTTTATCGTGGGAAGCTACTTGCTGACATCATTACTACTGTCTATCCTAATCTACCTGCCCCGCCTGGTGTACGAGAGCATCGAGGGAATACTGTGTGGCTGGATGGGAGTGACGCTGGTTGTGTTGATCGTGGACGTCTACCTGGAGTTTGAAATTGGCTGTTGCTACTGGAACTTGGCTGTGTTAGTTGTCGGTTGCTACAGTTACGTGGTGCGGTATTACGAAGGGCTCCGGCCGAGCGCTATGGACCAGAATGATAAGGCGGCGAGACGCAAGTGGGAAGGACTGGCTGGTCGTATAGAGCGTCGTGAGGAAAGAGAGCGAGCTAGCGTGGAACGACTGCGAGGCATGCAGGCCGAAGGAACGTCGTCTAGAGTAAGGAACGAGAGTCCTAATGCAAGTGGAACGTCACGTGGGAACGTTCCAGATCTGACTGTGGGAGACACCGTGCGACAGGCTCCGGGCGATGTGGCTCGGCGAGGTCACCGAGCGTCAGTCGGGGAGAACTGTCACGGTGTACAGTTAGACGGTGGATTAACGATGCTGGCTGACTGCCTGCAGAAGGTCTACTCACTCCAGACTCTCCGGACCACGTCCAAGCAAGCGGGACCTGCGGCCAAGACAGTGAAGTTCCAAGTGTGAAGTCGTGGAGCAGCTGGTCGTGGCGGGAATTGGAGCTGGACGAGGGATCTGACAAAAGGTAAGAAGCTTTAAAAACTCTTAGCGAGGTGAAACGAGGAAGTCAGTCGTGGATTTCCTTCTAACAAGAAACACAAGAATATATCAACTTTTACATTACTATCACAGTAGTGTCGCTAATACTACTACCTCCTACGTCGGCCTAAGATACTCACGACCCCGATTAGAGGAAGACCGCGACACTGAGACTCTCACTGAGCTGGCAGAGCATCTCACTTAAAGCATGGACGAATATCGACTCTTCTGGAGCAAAATTCCTGCTCCATTTGAGCCTGGGCCGCCCGGGCTCTGTCTGGCAAAAGCGACTCACGAAAATCGCGACCAAAGTTGACCGTTCCGAACATGTCCATAGGCAGGAACTGGCCCAATGTGGTTGGCGACCGGCGGCCAAAATACATGACGCACATTTTTTGTGGCGCAATCTGGGGCACGTAATCTAAAATAGGTCAGTATTTTGGGCAAATACCCATAACACAAGCACCTGGTTGGGATGAAGATCAGAAGGATATTACCGTTTACATGTAGACGATGCCGGGTGCATGATTGATGACGAAATGTGCGCCGTTACCGTGATACAGCTCTGAATCTACTGGCTGATGGCTGCCTGCAACGCGTGGTTGCCAACCACTAGTTGGTCGGATTACGAGTAAATAAATGTAAGCAAAATTTCCAATTTTACATTTATTGTTCCATCGTCATGCCTTTTGTATTGACATCGCCAGCTTTTCATTTACTTTCTGCAAGGAAGAGTAAAAGAAAATTGATTGTCGAGTGTTATTTCCCATTAATACGCCAAGACGGCAAGAGTACAGTTCCACTACCAGTAAGCCTTGTTCCTGCTGACAAGGAGCGAATGATACCAATAGTCGAACGCGTAGAGAAGAGAAGGGGTGAACCGTCTATCCTTTTGCCCGTAGACCCTGTGGCTATTATAGCGCCATCACTTGCGGGCTCTCGTTCTTTATAAAGGCTAAGAATGCCCAGTGTGTACTTTCATAATAGTAAAAGTTGTTGTCAAAATAATATATATAGATACCCTTGCTTCACTGACCTGCTCGCAGCGAATACCTCCCCCGCACTTCATAACAAGTTGTCACAAGTGCAAACTCCTGTCCTGTAGCTTACTTGCAGACAGAAACTGCGGTTGTCCTACTTAGATCGCAACACCAGTAAATTCTGCGGCTTCAAGCGCGTGTTCGCTGTTACTAGCGTTCGCCGACTTTCCGGCGCACATCTGAAACCAAATCAAAATACCGTAAACGGCAATTACGGAAGTCGCCGTGCGCTGGACAACAACCGTCCCGAATATTGTACCAGGAATCACCCTGTGTGCCTTAGTTACTTGCGAGCTTCCTGCACATAGCGAAGTTCAGTCACTCCACGATATAAAAAATAGGCACTGAGAATGGGTCTGCCTGTCCCTTCCGTGGACCTGATGATGCCAACATACACTTTTTCGCAAGTTCTCACTGGATAATTGCATATAATTCTCATATATCATCCAATTTTAAATACCTCTTCAAAATCAGTAGGCACTACTTATAACTCTTATTTTGATTACACCATGTTGTCGCATGCCGCTCCTATATCGCTGTTTCACTTCCGACGGAGCGCAATCAGCATTTTCCGGGCGGAAACAAGTTCGTTCACTCGCACACTCACCAACAAGAACAGAGCTGTACCTCTACTGACTAGCAACCGACGTCTATGGCGGTGCTTCCAACGCACGCTAGGGACGACGAGCTCGATCATGTCGGGCCCGTGAAGATCATCGAAGACGAGAACCAACTGTTCCACGAGTCGCAACCGGCACTGGACGACAGCGACGAAGAGGACACCATCAAGACCAAGCGACTGTCGAGCGACGAGGACGACGTCAAGGACAAGCGACTGTCCAATGTTACGGCCGCCAGCAGCGATGGCGAGGTGCTCACAGGAGAAGACCGTGACCGCATTCGTGAGGTGCGCGAGCGCGTGCTGCAGGACGCCGCCAACCGCCCGCCGGTGTCGCCAGCCAAGAACCACTTCCGGCGTGCCATGACCGTGGCCGTACCGTCGCAAGGCCTCGTGCCCAGGAAAGACGCGCCCGAGCATGACAACGACAGCGGCAGCAAAGCAGGCGAGACGCCTTCGAGCCTGAGACTCATGCGCTCCAAGAGCTGGGCTGGCTGCCCACAACGTGACGCTGCTCTGGAGGCGATTGAGAATCGTCAAGTACAATTCCGTTTCTCCACCGCGGCATCAGCGCGCGAAATCGTGCGTGAAATGCACTCGCACCGTCTTCGCGAGTTCCCCGAGCAGTGCGTCATGTCGGCGCAGATGGAGATGCAGATCGGCTCGGTCTGGCGCAAAATGACCGTCCAGGTGGACCGCGACGGCCTCAACTGCCAGCGCGTGTCGCTCTTCCGCAAGAAAACCAAGGAGTTCCAGATCTTCAAGGACGATCTGCTCGCTGCGTCGCTTACGCCCGGCAGCAAGACCAGCGTGGACGTGCACTTCATGCTGCCAGGCAGAGGCAAGGAGCACCGTCGCCTCATGCGTCGATACCGCACCATCACTCTGCGTTTCAATGACGAAACCACAGCTGCCAAGCTGGTGACTTCACTGCAAATGTTTGTGAAGTGGATGGCTCGTGTGCCCGAAAATGTGACGCGTCGTATCAAGGTGGTAGTCAACCCGCACTCGGGCCGTCGCCGCGGACGTAAAGTCTGGGAGCACTGGAGGACGCTACTGGAACTCGCCAACATCCAGTGCGACGTGGAGGAGACTCAATACAGCGGGCACGCACGCGACATCGGTGCAGCTTTCGACCTCGATATGAAGTACGAAGCCATCGTGTTTGTCGGCGGCGACGGTACAGTCAATGAGTTCATGAACGGCGTGTTCTCTCGCGAGGAGAGTGTGTGGCGCACACTGGTCGCTACGACGCCCGTGTCACTCATTTGTGCTGGTACTGATAACGCCTTTGGCAAGGGTGTGGGCACCCCCACACATGCATCGTCGGTGTACTGCATCATCAAGCGCAAGATCCGCCCGCTCGACGTGATGACATGCCAAGCCAGCAACGACGATGGCTCCACTCGTCTCGAGTTTGCGTGTACAGGTGTGAGCTACGGCATCGGCTCGGACATCGCTGTCGAGTCGGAGGCAACCAGATGGCTGGGCGTGCACCGATACTTCTACCTCAAGGTCAAACGTGGCCTCTTCGCGCCTCACAAGCACGAGGCCAAGATCAGTTACGTTCTATCGGATAATGTGCCTGTCGACCCCAACACAGGCGAGCAGATTCTGCGCACTTACTACGAGATCATGGACGACACTGCAGAGGACCAACATCACGTGGAGCGCTGCAGCATCTACGACGACACGGACCCGGCTGCCAAGCAGTGGAAGGGCGACGCCGAGTCGATCTTTCATCCTGCGAGTGAGGAGAAATATGCTGGTAAGTGGCATAGCTTTTCGTCAGAGCTGACGTCGGCTGGCGGCTCCAACGTGTACTTTGAGACCAAGTACGCGCACCCGTCGGACGGCAATCTGGATCTGATCTACTCCCGCAAGGGCAACATCTCGCAGACAGCCGAGATCGCCGTGCGCTATCTGAGCAACACGTTCCTAAAGTCGAAACTGGTTGGCTACCACAAGGTCAAGGCCATGGTGATCGAGCCGATCGTGGAAGACGTGCTGAACGTGGACGGAGAGGTGTTCGCCGGCCCTGGGCCGTTCCGCGTCGAGGTCGTGCCACAGCTACTGTGCGTGCTGTCCGAAAAATGAGTGACCAGCTTTTATCCATAATTGACGATTCATACGCAAAGACGATAAAAAAAGAAGTGGTAGTCCAGTCGGTACCATAGTGATAGGAAGGAGAAGAGCACGATCGAAGCGCTCGAGGAGTAAAGCAGCCGGGCGTCGAAGGAAGCGCCTGGTGCCACAGGAGGGTAAACTAAAGTGAATTTACGTAAGTCAGTGAATGCAACGGGGCCAAATGTTTGCCGAACATAATCTTCTTCGCCTCTCCGTTCTTTAAGTGCAACCAGCCTGCGGGCGGACGCCAGTCGCCATCAACAATGCTGGAATGTGCAATCGGAACCTGGTCAGACTCTGCCTCTGACACAGAAGTAGCAAACGGCCTTGTGGTCGGACTCCGACCACAAGTGCCGCCCCCCTTCCACCCCACGCTATAATACTCGATAAATAAGGCAGGGATGAGTGGGTGTACGTGTAGCTTAACGGAGCCATCTTCATCTTAGTCTGTCAAGACTGTTGTGCGTGACACGATGGCTACACTCATCTGCACCGAGTCGTCTGAATGTCGTAGATGCTTCGAGCGACATTTTTGTATCACACGACTTCACGACGACTGAGGTTTTATTCTGGCTCTGGAAGAAGAGCCAGGTGTGCCCATTTTTGCATGCACTCTCGAGTTTGGTACCGGCAAACATAACGGCAAGTAAGACAGGCTGTGTCGCTACATGATTTATGTAGCGACACAGCCTACGAAATACTAAGATTGAGTCGACCGGGCGTCCACAAAGCCGGCGACGGCTATGATCTTGCAACGGTGCTGTTTGCGGGCACACAAGAAGTTTGAGCACTTTGCGTAAAAAAGAGCGTTGTACCCAGTTCTGGATCGCGGTTTCGATTGCTTTTTTATCCTGTGCCGACTTGGCACAGGAGAAACTCTGCCAAATCGAGAAGGTTGTTGATATTGGTTTTGCAGGTGTCAATTGAGCTGATCTGTCGCGAAATACCACAGTCATTCCAGTTGAATTTCAATCGGTATTCGTAGCTCTAATCGTTGTCGTTATTGACCAATAAACGGGCAGTCACTCCTTTTCTCTCAAATCACGAAACGCTCCGTTTGACTATTGTGACCAGACTACGACATTGTGACAAGAAATATGGACAAACTGATGAAAGTGGCGTTACTCTCGCCAATTCGAGCTCATGATCAAAGTGTCAAAAAAATTGTGTGCCTGCGCTCTTCCCGAAGACACAAAGGAGCAGCCTGTCATCGCTTTGTATGAGATGATTCATGACGCAGTCGTTGCCTTTAAAGTTTAGAAGAGGTGTGTCGCTTGGCCGAATTTGGGCTATGCTCCCATTTTAGGGCGAGGTTTTTTGTCAGCAGGAAGGCGTCAGTGTTACTGACCCGTTTATGGCATTTGTCGTCGAATCGATCTCGTCTTCGCCAATGAAATTGCGCGATATGGATGAGGGTAGGGGATGCTCAGAACGACGACGCGAGGGGGGAGTCAAGGCTGGAGCCAAGAGGAAGAGGCCTCGCGTACGACGGATAGACGGACGTCCAGTTCGGATTGTTGCGCTGGCCAAACGCCACCAGGCGCGAGCAGGAGAAGGTTGAAAGCTCTCCTTCGACATCTGGTCCACGTAGCGGCAAGGGTTCGCTCTCTCGCTGCACCACAGCACCAGGCGGTAGAGGCCTCCACAACCGGCAGGGTACGTGCAACACGTGGGGAAGGGCACCGACTCAATCTTAGCAGCTTCACACGAGAAAACACGCCTGCACCGCAGTCGAGAGGCTAACCCGACGCTCTGCTCTGTGTGTGTCTTCCTCGTAGCTACTAGCAACAGTCAGAAGACTCGTTTTAGGGTGCGTCGCGGCTTGAGTGCAAATGTACCCCCCTCCCTGGCTAGTGCTAACTTGTCCATCTTGTTGCCAGTGTCAGAGATGTCGTTCCGGTTCCCTCGATGGGGACGAAAGAAGAGCAAAAGCAAAGAGCCCGTCGGGGGCAACAAGTACTACCCTAACGGTGCAAACGGGGCCGGCGGTGTTCCGCGTGGTCCTCCGTCCGCACCGGGACGCACCTACAGCAATGGCTCGGACTATCAGTCGCAGCAGTCGTGGCAAGCCAACGGCACAATGCCGCCGGCGCCCGCCTCGGCCGACTACCAAAACTCTGGCCAGCGCGCGGCAGCTCCGTCCGCGAACCGAGGGGCGGCGCTCCCTTTCTCTCACCCACTGTACGCCATGGACGCCGAGGGTATGATCCACCTCAAGGCTACGGGCAAGGGACTGGATGACTCCGATCTGGCCGTACACCAGGACGAGATTATCAACACTGTCGTCAAGTACGTGCAGGACTCGATGCGTAAGGAACTGGGCTTCCGCGAGGTCTTCATCCCAGCCAGCAGCACCCCCGAGGCGCCAGTAAAGGCGAATGTGTTCGTGTCTCGCAACTACGAGACGTGTAAGAAGCTTCTGGTCTTTGTGGCCGTCAGTCGAGGCCTGTATCCTGGTCTCTGGAGTCGCGGACTGGTACTCCATGCTGGTGTCAAGAGCGGAAGTATGCTCGAGTACTTCCGCAAGGCTATTGACGAAGGCTACGGTATCATTGTGGCCAATCCCAACAAGAACGTCATCGTGATGCGTGACGGCAAGCAAAGACTGCAAATTCCCGGATCTTCCAGTCCGGAGGAACACATGGACTCACTATGGGACTCGTACGTCGCGAGATCTGCGGCCAGACGCGTGTATTTCCTCGGATACTCGTACGGCGGTGTGCTCATCAAGTATCTTCTCCAGTCTCGGGGCGACCAGCTGATGCGTCGTAATGGAGCCATTGCACTCATCGAGTCGAGTCACCGTATCGAAGACGGCGACTCGCAGTCCGTCAAGTCCATCCTGGCACACCGTACGATGTACTGGGAGAGCAACGATCAACTGTTCCAGACGAAACTGGACGGTGACGCACCCCATCGTACCGGTTGTACCTGTTTGTCGGCCGGGAGACCGCCGCGTGCCCACGCGAACCATTACTACGTGACTGCCTTCTGCATCAACAAGATCCAGGACGCGTTGTTCCGGTTTTTGGACACACGCGACGCTACCACGTACGTGGCTGGAGAGAAACCTGTGCCGGAACCGCCTGCATCGGCACCGGCAGTGGTCGTCAACGGTGCCGGTCCGGCCGCGCCTCAATTGGTACGGCAAGAGTCGACGCGACGTGAAGCCAACAACTCGAAGATGGGCAACAGTGAGAAGCACTGCAACTTGTGTCTGTTCCACTTCACGCTGTTCGACCGTCGCCATCATTGCCGCATGTGTCACCGCGCTGTCTGCAACGCCTGCTCGCGTGACCGTCTCTTCTTGCCGGGATCCAGTACGGCCCAACGTGTGTGTACGGAGTGTGCCACGGAAGGCCCGCGTACCAACAACCAGGCCCCACCGCAGCCGGTTCCGAGCTACCCGCGCATGAACCGCACTGCCAGCGACGCTGTGGCCACCACGAACTCCTCGATGGATATGTCACAAGCTCGTAATCGGTCGGACACGCAGATGTCCAACCAGGGACGATCCGAGTCGAACGCTCAAGCTCCTCAAAACTCCAAACTCAGTGTCGAAGACTTCGATCTGCTCAAGGTTATCGGTAAAGGCGCGTTCGGTAAGGTTATGCTGGTGCGCAAGAAGGTGCCGGATGGAACGTCGAACCCCAACGCCATCTACGCCATGAAGGTGCTGAAGAAGGCGTCGGTGTTTGCGAAGAACCAGGTGGAGCACACCAAGTCGGAGCGTCGTATCCTGCGTGACATTGATCACCCGTTCGTGGTGCGGCTGCGGTATGCGTTCCAGAACGAAGACAAGTTGTACCTGGTCATGGACTACTACAACGGTGGCTCGCTGTTCTTCCACTTGCGGAAGTCGCGCAAGTTCTCGGAGAAACGCGCTCGCTTCTACGCGGCGCAGCTGCTCATGTCGATGTCGCACTTGCACGAGCTCAACATCGCGTACCGTGACTTGAAGCTGGAGAATATTCTGATGGACGACAAGGGTTTCATTGCTCTGACGGACTTTGGTCTGTCCAAGGAAAACGTGGACATGCCCGATGGAGCCAAGACCTTTTGTGGTACGGCCGAATACATTGCGCCTGAACTACTCAAGGGTCTGCCGTACGGTAAGGCTGTGGACTGGTGGGGCTTCGGTACCTTGCTGTATGAAATGATGACTGGCCAGACGCCGTTTTTCGACCGGAACCGGAAGCGCATGTTCCACAATATTCTACACCGGGACGTCGTATTTACCCAGGCCTTCTCGGAGGACGCCAAGGATCTGCTGACTGGTCTGCTACGCAGAGACCCGGCCAAGCGATTAGGCTCAGGCCCGTCGGGTGTGCAGGAGATTATGGACCACCCGTTCTTCGCTAGCATCGACTTTGATAAGCTGCTGAAACGTGAGGTGGAGCCACCATTCAAGCCTGTGGTGAGCAGCGAGGCCGACACAGGCAACGTTGCCAACATCTTCACGCGCGAAATGGCCCGCGATTCGCCCGTGACGCAGGAGCTAGGAGCGACGCATCGTGCGCAGGCTCACTTTGATGGGTTCACGTACATGCCCGGCAACGAGCACTTGAACTAATCGAAGAAGAGTGGAAGGAGGGTCAAAAGATTGTTAGACGACTACCCGTTCCCACGACAGACGAAGTCAAAGAGCAAGAGCACACTGCGAGGGGGGAAAGCTGTCAAAGTCGAGGGAGTAGCGAGGTCGAGTTGGCCGAGCATGCAGCTTCGTTGGAAAACTCCATTTGCAGTGAGTGGGTGAGGGAGGCGACACGAGCGAGAGAGCCGTGTCGGTGTGTGTTGTGTAAGAGAAGAAGAAGAGGGACAAGGAGCAAGACGAGCGAGCTGGAGAGAGGATACACGACCCGCTCACGGGTCTTGGGGGAAAGAGGTGTCGTGTTTCCTTCTGCCAGCGAACTCGCCATTTTAGTTTTAGCTTTGCCAGTGGCGCAAGATGAAAAAAGAGAAAATGAATATCCATACTAACGTACTGTTTCATTTGTGCTTTTCTTCGCTTTTAACCCTTAGTTCCCGGCCTCAAATATGAGGGTATATTTTGACCTCGTCCCATATACAGATATAAAGGAATTTGTATGGGGTTTCAATTAAGTCCGGATATCTTGGCGCGGGTTCGGGGTGGTAACAACGACTTGCCAGTGTGTATAGTACGGATTCTCCAACATAAAGGAGGGTTTATGTAGTACATTGAGACGATCATATACAACTATGCTGTATAAATAAACATAAGATATGTACTGTTTATTGATTAGCCTATCTTTGTGCTGTTGCATACGTCCAGCAGCGGTGAGTTCATTTATTATAGCCAATAACAAGAAAGATCAAGTGCCGTATCAATTGATTGCTCCTTGCATAGACATGTACGACCAGACGGCGCAACCACTACGCCTCCTCCTCCACCGCTTCATCATCTTCTTCGCTCGACTCCCCAGCACCAGCACCAGCACTTGCTCCGCTCTCGCCTACCTGCTGTCTGCGTCTCCGCTTCTTGCCTGGCCGCGACGCTGGCGGTCGTTCACGTGTCCTGTGCTCTTGCAGTAGGTCGCGCGGGATGTCGTTGCCGTTGTTCCAATCAGCATGCCAAATGCTGAAGCACGTACTGACCCTGCCTTCACGCGGAACGGTGCATAGGTATTTACTAAATCAAAACGAGTTAGCCAAAGCTTACGGTAAGGGTACCAAGCGAGCTACGCACCGTTTGTTCCCGTTCGAGCACTCCGGGCAGAAGTATTTCGTAAACTTGCGAGGCTTGACCTTGTAGATGGCACAGACTTTGCATGATCGGTGGCGTCGCTTCACACCCTGCTCGCAATCGACAGTATCTGGGTTTTCTTCTAAACAATGTCCGTCGATAGCTGACGATGCGCTTCCTTGTAGCTGTGTTGAATCTGCTCTTGCCGGCGAAGGGGCAGTTCTATCTTGCGCAGATGTCGCTTGCTGGTCCAATACAGTCAAGCCCACCATAAGTTAGTTGTTATGTTGGAAGGCTGCTGAAGCAGATGAGGTTATGTTGACTGGTCAACATTTGACTTACATCAATCTCGTCAAACGCTTCGATTGAATCTACTGCCAGTAGCTGCTCCATCAATTCCTCAAAAAACGAGAAGTGTTTTGGCGGGCGCCTGTTGTTTACCTTTCGATAGTGTCGATGAATGATAAACGCGTTCACAAGCGCCATATCCAGAAGCCCCAGAAACAGAGTCTTGTAGTACTTGCGTGTTTTGTAGCAAAGTTGCACGCTGTAACGTTGCAACCGGAGTTGATCATGGACGTCGACTCCACCCATCCAGCGGTGGTAGTCGCGAACAAGCTCTGGAGCCGGCACCGGCGTCATTTCTCCGTGGATGCGTCTCACTAGAATACAAATACAATTAGTGCTAACACCCAAATGGGAACTCAATGCATGTAGTACGTACTCACGGTGCCAGTTTGGCGGCTGCCCCCACTTGAGAGCAGGTGCACCGGGTTACGGTCCATCCACATGGCAGCAGTTAGTTGCGAAAACATCTTGTTTTGAGCCAGCTTGATGGTACCTTGCGGAGGCACCAGTACCTCGCGCCTGTTCACCTTTTTTTTCTTTTTCGTAGTGATCACTCCAGCAGCGTAACCTGATCTATCCGTCTGTATCGTCCTCGTTAGATACATCCGATAATGAAGCAGCTCCAGCGCCAGCTTGACCGACGTGTAGAAACGGTCGGTGACGACTAATCTCCATGGAGACGTCGGTGACGGAGATAAGAGAGCTTTCATGTTTCGAAGTACAGCCGCTTCTCCAGTGTTGTTATCCTTTGGAACAGGAGTACGTAGATGTGGCTTCGCCCCGCAATAAATCTCAATTCTAGCAGGCAAACACATCAACAGAGACGATTATGTTAATATTATGTTGTATCAACAGATGGCGCAGGATTCTTATGTTGGACAAGTCAACATAAGTACTTGGGCCAAAAAAAAAGGCAAGCCGAAGCTTGCCTCAAGCTACCTCATGCAGTACGCGGTCTTGGCACACGCAGCAACAAACACCTTCGTCCCCCACTTGTGGGGCTTGTCCTTGTTGAAGATCCTCATGGGATTGTATCGCGAGCGCGAAGGCAGTGTTGCTTCATCGAAGCTGATGACTGGGGGAGCTCTGCGAATGTTCGCTGTAGCACATCGAGCACCGGTCGAATCTTCCACGCTCGGTCCGTACGGGCTTGTGGCGACTTGTTGCTCGAAAAGTGTAGATATCCCATGATATGAAAAAAACGATTCTTTCCCATCACGAGACTGAAGCGGTTTGACGGTAGAACTCCAACTTTCTTCATTGACCAATGCGCTGCAATGCCTTTCCGGATGGGGACCAACATACGTGCAATCAGCAATGCCATAACTTGAAGGACCTCGTAAGTTTGTATTTCTTCAACTGCTGACAACCGCCGTCTGATCTCAGCAAGATCTTCTGCTTCGCCACCACTACGCTGTTGCTGTCTGCGAATTGAGCGGGCCCTCGTAGGGATTGACTGAGTATGATAGCGGTTGCTTTCGACAGCAATTTGGGACCAAATCTTCGGCGGCAGGAAAAAGAAGAGCAATGCCAGCGGATCGTCCCCAAGGCGTAGCACGCTGTCACTTGGTCCGTATGGCCCATCATACAACCCAGCATACGTTGGGTCAGGTCCAAATTTAGTCGCGTCTAGATACAACACACAAGGACAAAAACTATGTTAGCCTTTATGTTAACTCAGAAACAAAATGAAAGGATTATGTAGGATTCGGCCAACATAACGTACCATACTCCCAGCCATCGGTACGCATTGCAGTGATCAGTGGTGCGTTCTTCGCTGCGGATAACCACGCCGTGTCTGGAAGCTCCTCGATGTCGTGGTCCGAATCTTCATCTGTCAGCTCTCCAAGGTCCCAGTCACCGTCCCAACTATCGTCAGCAGCATCCTCTTCGTCTTCAGGTTCCTCACGAAGCTCTGGGTCCTCGTCGGAGTTGAGCCCGGTGCATTCGTCAGCTCCTTCGTCCATAAAGTTAGGGTCTGTGTCAATAACACACGCAGGTACACTGTGCACAACGTCTGCTTCGTAAACACTCTCGTCTTCGTCACCTTGCATTCTCTGTTCACCATACATCACGTACGTTGGATATTATGTTAGACATGTTGTCAGCCACAATCCTTCTAGGTTGGATAAACAAACAAAACGCACCGTGTCATCGTCGCCATCGCTGTCTTCTTGTAGGAGAGCGCGGCGATGCCCTCTTGTCGGCACTTGAGTACTACGCTTTCGTTTTTCAGCACTGGAATCAGTAGTAGCTAACGCGATACCAGACGGTTGGGCAGGCAGCGCAGTCTCAACGCTCAAAACCATGTCCGCGACGACTTCTGTCACCTCCGTCTCGTGGTCTGCTTCCACCTCCATCGCATCCGCTATCGCGGTTGTCTCTATCGTCTCCTTCGCTTCAGCAATCGTCTGGTTTCGCGAGCCCTCTTTTTCGCCCGCCGTGTCTGCAACCTGAGCACTTGCTGAAGGAATATACAGACCTTTATACTGCGCCACCTCCATATCTGCCGTTGTGCGCTTGGCAGCCTTCTTCTTTGTCGCCTTCTTCGCCTTCGTCTGCCATGCTTCATCTGCCGCTCTTCTGCTCTGTCCGTCGAATGCGGCGCTCGTGACGCTCATATAGCAGAGCCTCGCGACAGAGGCGCCTTTCTTGCTCGGTGAGGTGGTGACGCGGTGTCTTGGGTGTCGGCGCAACCATGTTGCTATCGGCCGTCGTTTTGAAGAGTGAGGAGGTTGGTGGCTGGTGGCCACTCGCTCGATAGTGGGTGCCTCCCTTTTCTAACTCATTCAACCAAACTAAACCTAAGCCTGTGCATGTGACCGTTTCACACTCATATCAATGACTTCATTTCATTATAGCGGGGAAAGGGGGGGTATGGACCGTTGCCCCATACAAAATTCAGGTATAAGATTTGCTTATGTTGTACCTCCAACATAAAATAAAAGGTGCAACAGAAGTGAATTAGGGTAAACACCCCTTATGTTGGATGATCCAACATAAAGGAACTAAGAGCATCTCCACCGGTGGGGCTCTATATCTATATAGCGACTGAAGAGCTCAAATTGATAACTACTGGGGTTTCACCAGGCGTCTCTATCGCCAATTTTTTAGCTACCGGGGGGTTTCGGTCGCTATTTCGGACGCCATAGCGACTAAAATCTATAGGAGGTTGGATCACTTGCAAACGAACAATGCCTCGAGGAAAAGCTTGGTCGGACAAGGAAGACGCCGCCCTGTGCACGGCGTGGTGCGCTAACCAATCGCAGGGGCCGATCAGAGGGCGGACAACCTTTGGACGCTAATCTTGCAGTCATACTGTACGATAGTACCAGGATGCTAGTGCGGCGATACTTCGCCGCACAAGCATCTTAATAGCCGCAGTGAAGTCTCTGTCGACATTTGCAGCCTTGCCGGGCTGTGAACCGCCGTGTTTTCTCTTTTCGTGCGCGAGGGGTCAAAAGTAGCGAGCAGACGTACGCCTCTTCTCGTCGTCAAGAGCTTCTCGCAGAAGACGATTTCTCCACATAGCGACAGATTGGTGAGTGATGCCTCTCGGTGTCTATCGCTAAAAACATTCCGGCCAATCGGAAGGCAACGAGTCTATAGATATAGCGACACACCGGTGGAGATGCTCTAAGGGGTTAAGGAGAACTGAATGCTTCTTCTAAACCGTGTACTAAAACTGTAGTATTAATAGTCGACAGCTTACCAGTTTGTTTGAAAACTTGTGCTTTTTATAACGTTAAAAATCCCTTAAATAATGAGCGCTTACATGTAGGCAGCACTACTATCTACTTCAGCACTTAAATAGTGCAGTCCAGCAACAGCTTGACTAAAAATAAAGGGTAAACATTCACGTGAGCTATTCTGGGTCAAATTCTCCACCCTCGCTATTACTTGTTCAGACGAAGGAGACGTGTTTTATAGATAGCAGACCAACAATAGGCATTTCTAGCTGTTGCTGGCGTTCCTCTGCGTCAACGGTCGGGGAGGTGTTACCCTCCTCCTTCTCATTCCTGAACTTCCAGCGCTTTTGCCAAAACCCCAGACTAGTGCGTAGACTTTCAGCAACAATGAGCAGCACGAAGGGGCTCATCCGATTCGGTGATGTCGTCAAGCTGCAGACCAAGTCGGCGTTTATCGAGAGCACTCCGTCCTTCCTGGGGTTTCTTGAACTACCCGGTAAGGCGCAGACCCAACTGCTTGTGGTACCCCCAGTGAAGGATGATGTCAAGGACCGTTTCACGGAGGCCGAGTTCATCATGTACGTCACTTTGAAATGCCTTCCAGTTCACTCTGCTCACCTTATGCAACTACAGTGCCCCAATTCGTGGAGACAAGCAACAGGCAAACGGCACCCCACTGACCTACCAGACTCCGTTCGTGCTTCGAACTTCAGACGGAAAGGATGGCAGCACGTACTCGCTTAACAACAAGGTGGTAGGGCAACGTGAAGGTGTCAGTCTGCAACTCTCAGCCACCAAAGGTGAGATGTATATTCAGGTGGAGAAGGAAAGCTGCACAAACACCACTGATGTTCAATACGGCGACGACGGTCTTAACCTCCGCGTCGTCGACTCGAATCGTGTCCGCAAGACGCTTAACCAACCACTTACCCATGCTGCCAAACCCAAGAGCGACACACCCGGCGGTATTGTCACCTGTGGTGCCAAGGGCACGAGTCTCACCTTCAGCTTCCACATTTCAGTCGATGCTGACGGGAAGCCGAAGACCGAGACGACCAAGTACATCAAGAACCCGCAAGCTCGTCGCGGCAGCATGGAGGCACTCAGTCCGTCAAAGGTGGACCAGCTCGGGCGTGCAGACCGTATTGACAGTAGTGAGTTCTCCGATGTTGACGCTATGAGTCGCTCCAGTAGTATCGCTGGCTTCGGCTCAAACCCCGCGAGTCCTCGTAGTAGCTCCATGACAAATGGACTGGCGAGTCCTGTCGATCCTGCTGCCGTGGCTGCACGGCTTCCAGCTGTGAAGGATGACGAAGACCCCGAAACGGAGGCGACTGTCTCGACAAGTAGTGCGCCTACTTCCACGCATGAGGCTTCGAGGGCGGTACCTGCGGATTCTGCCAACTCGAAGTCTGCGGACACCAAAAAGGCCTCTCCTGCCTCGCCACCGAAGCCTGCGGACACCAAAAAGGCCTCTCCTGCCTCACCACCGAAGCCTGCTACTGTGGAGGCGAAAGCTAAAGCTTCTCCTGCTCCATCGCCGGTGAAAACTGCACCAGCTGCATCACCGGCTAAGACCGAAGTGACCAAGACTGAGCTCGTGAAAGCTGAATCCACGAAGACTGAGCCTGTCAAAGAAGATCTCAAAGCTGAGACTACAAAGACTTCCTCAGTGAAGGCCGATCCAGTGACTACAGCTAATAGAGCAGCGTCTAATGAGCCGAAGACGGTTGTGGCCGACGCATCAACCTTCCCTCCTACACCCGCCATCAACGGTCCTGCACCTGCACCTGTGGTGCTGTCTCCGAAGGCGGCAGCTTCGCCCAAGACCACTTTGAAGGCGACTACTACCACGTCTAATGCGCCGGCATCCTCCAAGATGATGAAGCAGGAGGACGTAGCCGAGCTGAAGGCCGAAGCCGAAGTGGAGAATCTGGAGCCAGCGTGTGGTGCCAAGTGCAGCGTCATGTAAGCCACGGTCGATCGAGCCGTAGAACTCCGCTGCATATTATAAACCCTTAATAATGAACTTCTGCTCTCAACTGTCCTCTATGCTTTTGCATATACTTGCCATCACTTCTCGAGTCGCTTGACTACTTTCTTCGATCTCCATACTTTCGTGTTCATTCTTCTGTTTGCGACGCTCACGCTGCACCGCTGCAGCTGTACTTTCACGTCGAGCGATGCGCTCTAGACGCTTTTGCTCTAAAGCTTCCCCTTCTCGTGCTTGAGCGTCCTCGACGGCGCTAATCATAAACCCTTCGTCTTTCATATATGGCTCTGCTAGCAGCCCTCGTTGCTGGACTCGCGTTGACCGGAAGCCCTCGGCTGAGTTTTCAAGTACCAACGGAGCGTAGATAGGATCCATGGAGCGTGCCAATGCTCGTCTCACGAACGCTATTTGAGATGCGGTAGTTGGGGAACAGAAGCTCAAGCCTCGTGGTGCTCCTGGACGCTGACAGTCGTGGACTCCCTGCGCTCGATCCAGCGCCTCCGATGCTGTAATTCCGTACACACGACCGAGTAGCAACGCCGACACGATGCCCGTACGACCATGGCCAAGGCGACTGAATACGTACAGGTTCTTACCGGCACGGAGCCTCGGCTCGACGTGTTCTTCGAGGAAAGACGTCAACTTGTCACTGTCTGGAACACTGTCATGCTTAATTGGGAAATACAAGAACTCGATCTGCATCATACCCAGTCTTGCAAGCTCTTGTGAAGCTTTGGCAGCCTGTTGTTCAGCCAGTTGGAGCTTTTGTTGCAGCGCGTCACGTGCTTCTCTCATCTTTGCTTCGTCAGTATCATCCTCGTCTTGTAGTTGTTGCACTGACATCGATGCTCTCCTCACTCTGGTTTCTTTCGTTCCAGAACTCCCCACTGCAACAGCAGAGGCAGTAGCGACGTCTGCGTCGAGCTCGATCAGGGCCTGTTGTGCTAATGCAACATGACGTTTGCTGATCGTCTCGGCGCCTCTCAGCTCCGTACACAGAGCTCGATACTTAGCGCGAACTTGACGTTCACAACTCCAATCAGCGGCGTTGGAATCTGTCTCCACACTTTGGAGTTCTTCGGGTTCCATTAGACACAGGAACACACTAATTTGCTGCAAGAGTACACTCGTAGCAAAGTCCGTGCGTGACACAAGTCGTCGTGCTTCACGGAAGGCAGGACCGATAGGACACGCTCCAGCCAGAACTCGAGCTCGAATGACCCAGTACGACGTATCTGCTGGGCCAGCATGGTTGCCTTTGAACGACTTGTAAGTCGCCATGTCTTCGATGATAACCTGGGTTGCAGGAGCAACCGACTTGTCGTGTGCTGTGCGTCGTCGAGCTCCCATACGCGGTAGTTTAGGTAGCATTGTCTTCATTCCGTAACTAGGATGCCACGTTATAGCTGGTGGAGGTGGAGGGTCACTAGGTCCTACAGCTTCACGCCATCGTCTTAACGCCATACACTTCCGTTCTTCCATCTGCCGAGTAAGGAATGCGTACAGCTTCCGTGCTTCGATCTGTCGACGTCGGTAGAGTTCCAGTGCATCTATTGAAGACCCTAACGTCTTGCTAAGTAGGAGTTGACGTGCTCTTTGACGCTCTCTTTCAGCTACCCGTTGAGTCCAAGCTTGCAATACACAAGCAGCGCGTTCTCGATTCTGCTGCGTTTCTCGCTCACGATGCCGTTTCACGTACTCACGCCACAGTCGCCAAGCAAAACCTGCATACACAAACAGCAATTGTTCCAGGATCGCTCGCAGATGCTGTCGACGCACGCGTTCGGGGAGCACCAAGTCGTGTTGCGGTATCATGAAGCAGCGAATGCGAGTGGCAGGGGGCCAAGGCGTGGGCACTGGTTTCTCCACTTCTTCCTCAAACATCAAGTCACGACTAGCTATACCAACTTCGAACGGTACGGCGTCTTCCTCGCGTAGATTACCAGCACGTCCGATCGAGTTCATCCACTTGCGGAAGTTCCACGTCCCTAGAGCGAGTTGTTGATGGAATCTCACATCATCCTGACGCCAAAGTCGCACGTGAAAATCGCTGCCAAGTGTTGCTGCAGTCTCAGTAACGACCTCATCCAGTAGTTCAGAAGATGGAAATGTTTCCAGCTCCGCGTCACCGCAATCCTCAAGTCCGATACGCCAGTGATGTATGCGTCCCCCTTCCAGTTCGCGTCGGAATTTACTCCGTGCGATCCGCTCCGCTGTCACGACAGCACGTAACGCACCAAGCTGCGTCGGGAATACTCCGATTTCGTGCGGCCAATAGGTCTCGCCACTGTCGACGTCACGATCGCTGCTAATATCCCAACCAGGCAGTGCCAAAGCTGCACGAAAGAAACCGTTGGGTAGGGCTTCTACACCTCGTAACCAGACTACACGGTGATAAAAAGTGCCTCCGCTTAAGGTCGTGGCAGGGTCCTGACTTATTAACGTGCCGTGAAGTAGTTCACGTGACCAACGCGAGCACTCTGGCGCTCGAAAGAAAATGTTCGTCCCAGCGGAAAGTGACAGCCGAGACTCGGATCGTGTCTTCGTGGCAAATGCTGCGGGAGTTTGGGGGGATGAGGACACCTCTGAGGCTTCCTGTGGCTCAGCTACTTGATTAACACTGCTAAATCGACCGAAACGAATCTTGTGTGCCGAAAGCGACGGAACCTGTTGCCACGAAGCAGATTCTTGTCAATTCCTAGCTTTCAGATGCGAGATAGCAGCAGACGCTGCGTACAATATGGATGGCATCTGTGCATCGGAAGCAGAGGGCGAGGCTGCAGTCTTCACATATAAAAACGGCAAGGAAGGTGCTACACTCTTCGCATAGACATCGTCCAGTATCACAGACCGAGCTCGTAGGCTTCATTCTGACTTCTGCAACATCGTCGACTGTGTGCTCGGCTTGATACTTGAGCTCCGATTCTCTAGTGATGTTGGGAAAGTTTGCCAGTATCCATGCAGCCACGAACCCCCTACTAATTAGCAGTTGATCGCCATCATCAGACTGCTCGGGCTCGCCACAATCTCCACTGGTACCGTTTGAGTTATGAACATGAAGGTCATTTTCTTCTCTAGTCTCTTCCTCACACAGGCTTCCTTCTCTTGATTTTCCGAAATCGTAGTGTAGTTGCTCGACTTCGTTCTCAGGGTTGTCCAAGTCACTCGCACTGATGTCGCCTTCAGAGCCAGCCGTAAGCTTTGCATTCTCGTTATTGTCATCGTCGTGCTGGAAGAGGTCTTTGCGCATCGTCTACATTAGAGACAACTGGAGAGTTAGCCTTCACATCTTGCTCAAGAACAACAAAAGTGCTCAACCTACTTCGAAATAGAGGTGGACAAATGCCCATTCGGCCCTTGAAACGTCGCTAAAACTATAGCAGACAAACCAAGAAACTCAAGAACACGGACTTCGCAAGGGACATAAAAAGCGACCCGTGTTTGTGCTAGCTCAACTGTGTCTGCCATATATGTGTGTGTGTGTTGTTGTGTGGCATCTTGAAAGCTTGTTCACCACAATAGTCGCTCTCCAGAGAAGAGTTTGTGCTCTCCTAGTCCCATTTTTATCATGTTGTGTTTCGCGTCATTTCATATCATCTTGTATGTGTTGTGTGTGTTGTGTGCTGCTTGTCTTCTGGCACGGGACTCATAACTTCATCCTCGTTTTTTTGCGTCCTCCATTCGCCTTCCGACTGTGTGTAATACTGTAACCTGCGCTCAGGTGATAAGGAAGTCCGTAGATTCAGCATCTTGGCTAACTGTTGTTGACCAACGAGCCAGAGCGACGGTACGCGTCGCCACCGAAGTCGCTGTGCATACGCAGACGGTCATTTTCGCTCTCGTTCGAGTTCGTGGCATTGAAGCCGTAAAAATTGCTCGAAAATCCACTGGACGACTGCGAAGCTAAGGTCGGATCATAGAACGACGATCCACTCGATGCTCGTCTAGCGCTCGACTGTCCGTCAAACCCAAGCGAGCTCAGACTCCCACCATCCCACGCATCAGCCGAGACCAGACCGCCGCCAGCGCTCTGACTGCGTTCGAACAGTCGACGCCCTGCGTTTCGCCCGCGACCTGTGCTCGCACTGCGAGTAGGCGGAGTCGTGGCGCCCACTCCGCTCGACTCCGTCCCAGATAAACTAGGATAGTCACCTCCAAAGCTGATGTTGACATTCGGTAGCATCTGCTGAAGGAACGCCAGTCCGCCAGACTCTCCACCTAGAGCGCTACTCCCACCGAGAGGGAGATCATTGCTGCGGAAGTCATTCCCAAAGGAACTTCTGGGAGGATGCGGTGGCGGCATATGGTGCTGCGAGCTCCCAAGTGGTGGGAAACCAGATCTGTCCGTCGTCGTAGGGAACCCTGAAGAAGTCGACGTATTTCCGGAGCGTGGAGCGTCGAATCCGCCAAACGAACTGCGGTTGTTGACTGTCGTTCCATCCAGCAACTCGTAGCGCGCACCTGACTGCTGCAACGCACCACGACCAGCATCTGCAAGGTTCGCGAATGAAAACCGAGAGGTATGCGCATCCTTAGCTGGTGCAGCCAGAGGTTGTGCCAATGGGTTGGGAGCCAACTGGACACCGAGCAGCCCTGCGAGTGCCTCGGACGAGTCGTTCCGCTGGCTGAAGATCGCGTCAATAGATGCAAACGACGAGGACGAACTCGCTGATGCAGACATCGCTGAAGTGGCAGACGGGAACGAGTCCAGCGTAGCGTCGGATGCGGTCGACGACCCCCATACGTCGCCAGACACTGGAGTCTTTGGCGTGAGCTCTACCGCACTGCTGGCACGTCGAATGCCACCGTCAAAGCCGAGCCCAAACGGACTAAAAACACTTGCACTACTGCTGTCGGCCGTATTTGTCTCTTCACTCTCGTTCTGGGATATTGCTGGGGTCGGGAATGGCTGTGCCCACGCCGGCTGCTCTGTCGACGACCCTGTCGCCAACTTTAGCGCTTCCAACGGACCTACCGCCGCCTCTGTTGTATGTTCTTTGTCTTCTTCTCGGGATGTGTCTACGCGTAAGTCTGGCTTCTTGTTTGGTACTGGATCGACTGGGGCTGGAGGCGCTGCCCCTGCAAGACTGCTACTGCTGTGTCCACCCGCTACGATATTGCTGTACGAATGCCCTCTACTCAGAGGAGGATACTCTGTGCTGTGTGTTGCTGCTCTGTCAACATGATGCGGAGACGGAGACCCTGAACTATTGATGCAATCCCCTGCGGCCTGTCTGAGTTTAGAAATCGCCGCTGCGCTCTGTGCATGTCGCTGTATGTCTCCATATGGTTCTTCGCTGTGTGATCTGACCAATGCCGTCCCTCGGGCTGGGGACGGCGCTCTAACATTCGCTGCTGAGGCTGTTCTGGTCGGTGCACTGGGTCTATGGGGCGGTGGAAATCTTGATCCTTCCCGCTCGTGTATCTGCCCATTTGCCATCGACATATCCCGGAATGCCTTCCCAGAATGTAAAGCTACAGTCACACACAGTCTTGGTCAGCTCTCGCTTAGAATCTTCACCTGTGAGAATTGATCGTCTCCTACCAGACTGCATCTCCTCCTTCGTGAAGCTATCGTCCTCGTCTCCCAGCTCGTGCAAATATAGGCAATCCGGGTTGTTACACTGCATATTACGCAAAAAGAAGTTGCAATACTTGGTCGTTCCGAACGACGCTCTACCCACACCCACAAACAAGATGGGTTCTACCCTGTCAGACTTCCCCCCTTATTCCTTCACAAAGGTAGTGTAGAGCGTACCGTAGTTGACTCCCGTCCAGGTAATATCCATCTATTGCCACTATACAGCACAACGCGTCCTCCTTATTGGCGAACGTGATGTAGGCGCTGGCCGTGGCGTTGGCTCTGTCCGTATTCAAGTGGCTCTTGTTCACCACAGCCTTAACGATCTTCCCGTACTGACCGAAGCACTCGTTAGAGCGTAAAATGTCCTCCTCGGCGAAGTGCACGGGTAGTCCGATGACGTAAACCAGGTTACGTTGCATTACGCGCACGTTCTGCAAACTCTTACGGTTCACCGTCGTCTGCTTTGCTTGCGCGGCAGAGCGTCGCTCGATCTTCTCCTTCTGCTTACGCTGCTTAGTGCGGCGTACCACACTGTCGGTCACAGTAGCCCCCAGTTAGTCGGTTAACGGTAGAATGAGGTAGAAATTAGGCAGAACACGACTTACTCTTCACGGTCCAGCGGGTTCTTCTGCTTCGAAAGCTCAGCGTAGGGCTGGCGACAGGCAGGGCACAGACCGTTGTACTCATTCTTGATCTGGTGCCAGCACCAGAGACACACTTGGTAGCCGCACGGACATGCGTTAAACGTTTGGTCCGTGATGTCCAGCTCCTCCATGCACAGAGGGCAGCAGTCAGATTCTTCCTCGTAGTCAGCCATGGTCTGGAGATGGGGGGACACGCCGTTAGTGAGGGGTAGCTGGGAGGGGGAGGACAAGTGCACGCACAGCAGATGGGTACGTAGGTCAGGGGACTTTAGCGTCGCTCGCTTTGGCGCTCTTTCTCTCTCTCTGGCGGCTGGCAGCTGGTCTCTTTCAACAGTGTTCCCTGCGAAAAGCGATACATCAGTACTTGACCGGCTGGATACCGGTAGTGGTGTGTGTCGCTATTATTGTTTTCATCTCATGACTATCTGGTAGAAAGACTTTATCAGTAACTTTTTAAAAACTTTAGAAAGCTTTCGGTAAAAGGTAGCTACGCCTTCACGAAGAAATGAAGAAAGAAGCTTTACATATACATGTATGTACATGTATAGCTTTCTTCTACATATGTACAGTACTTGGTTGGTAGAAGTGCAACTGTTATGTGTGTTGGAATACGTATTGGGAGAGCAGCGCTAGCACTTAAATAATTCAGTCTTCATTTTACCTTCAAAGAGTCACAGCGGTCAGAAGTGTGTTCACGGAACGGGGTTCCAATAATGTGGTTGCTGGTGTAATGCGCCGGAGAAAACGCTTCAGCACAAAAATAAAGAAACTTACGAGAGCACTCACTTTCCAGCTTTTCGAAACATCCATTTTTGACCAGGTAGTCACAGCTGAGGCAACCTCCTTGCCTTACCCCATGTTGAAGTGGCTTCTCTTTCGGTAATTCTTGCTTTCACTATGGTCCCACTCCGCCTTTTCGAAACGGTGTTAAACCATTGGTCATTCGCATTTCTCCTCTTTTGCGCACATCATCCTTATGCCGCACGCGCTGCAGCACTCCTTCTTCCCCACGGCCAAGGAGCTCTCAAGTGGTGTGCAGTGGTTCAAGGACCATCCGGTGCTGGCTGCTGCCGCTGCCACTGCTGTGTCCGTCATCACATATCTGAACGCACTGGAGCTGGCCGAGGCGGAGGTGGAGCATGTAAATGACGCTCCCGATACAGCAGACACTGCTGCTTCCACTCGACAAAGGAGACCGCTGCCTATTCGCCGCAAAGGCTCGCCGTCTCTGTCCCGCAAATGCTCGTCCGGAGCGGCTAGTGACGGCAAATTGTCGGCCGCCGTGAGCTGGTGCGACGAGCACGGCGGCAGTCTGACGCAAGTATTTGAGGACGATTCACCTCCGCGTAGTAGGCGAGATAGACGGATGGAGGAAAGTGACAGTGACGACGAAACGCGTGACGATGTGGCCGAGAGCTGCGAGGACGCCTTCCAACAGCACAGAGCGCTTACGGGCGGATTGCGCAAGAGCGTAACGCAGCAACAGCTGGACGCGACAGTGGGGGCGGCAGCTGTGAACGAATCGGACGCGGACACTCAGCAGACGGAGAGTCCACAGTGGGGCTGGTACGTCCCCATTACGCCGCCGCAGGACCAGTTCCAGGCGACGTCAGAACGCGACTTGGCGGTAGTGGCGTCTTGTTCGGCACAGATGACCGTCAAGACCATGCGACGCACCACTTCAGGGCAGATCCAATAGGAATTTTAAGATATGTGCGTTATGAGTCTCTTGATCTTTCGTCGGTCATGGACTGTGATGTTACAGATCCAGCGTCAATGGCTCCTCTTCACTTGGTGATTTGTTGTGTTGTGCACTCGGTTGAAGATCCTGTTGCAAATCGTCTTGAGACTCATCTTGAGGCCGCGTAGCGAGGGCGATAGTAGACTCCTCGTCTTGTGTCGTGTCCATGCTGTATTCATCCTCTTTGTCGTCGTTAGTTGTCTGGTGTCTGGCATATTTTCCTGCATTGCCTTCATGGTCATGAGCACTGCCAACTCTCTCCGAATAATGCTCATACGGCAACGAAGCCTCCGCTCTCTCCTCTCCACTTGCATCATTCTCGCTTACGCGATCCATTTGTACAGCATTCACATTAATCTCTTCATCGGTCGAAGCGAACAACGTCGTGGTCGACAGGTCCAGCATGTCCGAGGCGCCCTCACTCTTTAAGCTCTTTGGGCTCTGTGCGTTGTGTCCCGCTGGCTCGGTGTATCCCTGTCCTGGCAATTGCAACGAATACTGCGCACGGGTTGGTCGGCTACGTGTCGCATTGAATATGGGAGGTGCTGTCGTCAACAATGACGTTGGAGTCACAGTTGATGCAGGCCAACCCACCGCAGTCTGTCTAATAGCCCCATTAGCGTCCTTCACCAGGGTATTCAAGTGCCCCAAGGTCTGTGTCTCAATAATTTGATCAATTACAGAGTCCAAGCATCGCACCACAACACGTTCACGTCGAATATCATCCATCGAGTAGTTGAGGAAGTCGAAGAAGTGACGACACTCCTCAGCGTGCACCGTCATCCATGCTTGTAGAGCCTCAACGTCTTCCCTTGAACTTTTGCTCTCAGCTTCTCCAATCGTATGGGCTCCTACGACAGTGGACGCTGCTACTACAGGACAACACTCTTGTGTATGCTTGGCTGCCCAGGTTTGCAGAGCGTTTAGCTCTTCCTTGACACGTTTGGCCTCCAATCCCATTGCTTCGTTCGAATATGTTGCCACCGCCATAGATTCTGTCGCGGGTACGACCACTGAACCGGATTGACGGCACTCCTGTTCATGCAACGCTGTCCGAGTTTGAAGAGCGCTCAGTTCTTCCCTCATGCGTTCCGTTTCAGCTGCCAATTGTTGGCGTATTTCAAGAGGAGCTGCCTCTCGAGCTGTGACCAGTTGTATCCCCTTAATGCGTTCCTGCTCCACAGCAGTAGCCAACCTGACCAGCATCGCGTCTGAATCTTCCATGAAAGCCTGGATGGTCTCCCTCATCGCATTGTGCTGCATACTCACCTCGTCTAAAGTGTTGTGCTGGGTGCGCTCCAATTGATTCACGCGCTGTACGAGCGCAGTTTGGATCTCTGCTGAAGAGTTTCGCAGGTTCTGTTCCAGTTGGTGCACTCGTTGAGCAAGCGTAGACTGTTGTTGTGGCAAGTACTTCTCTCGATTTGTTTCGATAGCATGGCCTAATGTCTTCACCACATCCTCCACACGTCTTTGCAGCTTGTCGTCGTTCTTCTGTCGCGCTTGAACTTCCAGAGGGATCACTTCCTCTAGCGTAAAAAGCTTGCGTTGCATAGCGACGGCTACAGCTCGCACAGCCTCCTCCAGGTCGTGAAGTCGCTGGCTCAAGTCTTCTTCCTGTCGTGTCTGTGCTGCGTGCCACATCTTGATTCCGTTGGCAATCTCCTCTAGCACACACTGAAAGCGGGCATCCACATCACCGGCCATTGCTTGGAAAACTCTCTTAATCTGTCCGAATTCGCTGTGCAGCCATCGTTCCATCGCCAATAGATGGTCATTTACACGTGAAAATTCACGCATATGTAAAGTCACGCGTTGGAAATCCGCGCCTGTTACGAGTTGTCGCTGCTCGTCAAGTGCACGCACTAAATCTCGCTTGTCAGCCATCAACTTCGAGTTAAATCGCTCGAGTTGAGCATCCAGTTTTGTGTCGATAGCAGCGTCGTTCTTCCACCGAGCACTGCGGTCTGCATCCAGTTCACTGCGCATCTGGACCATCGCATCCTGCATGTCTTTCAGTTGTCGCTGGAGCTCTGTGTTGCGGATTGGTGATAGAGCTTGCTGCTGCTTGGAGCTGACAGACGCCATGAACTGTGCATGTTGCTCCTGGGACTCAAATTTCCGCTGAGTATCATCGACGACACCTCTTAGCTCACTTTCCAGCCCCTCCACTCGATGTCCAAGTCGTGCGATCTCTGCGAAGAGTAACGCTGCCTTCTGCTGTTCACGTTGCTGCTGGCTCAAGTCTACTTGTAGCTTGCTATTGAAGGAATGCGCGAGCCGTTGCAGATCTTCAGCAACTTTGCCGACTGAGAGCTGGTTTCAAACGAGCGTTTAGTTGCTTACGTCACTACCACTTTAAGGGAACAGGATCACTCATACCTTGTCACTTTCGTGTTGCTGGTTGCTTGAGTAAAATTGCCGAAGATGCTGCAACTCTGCCCGAAAGCGTTCGTTATCGCGTTCAAGCGCATGCACGCGCTCTGTCATTCGATCCGATGCTCCTCCTACAGACACACCGCCATTGGACTGATGCCCAACACGACTTGCAGAGAAAAGACCCGCAGCAACGGCTTGTTTCCTGTTGTTGTCGTTGAAGAAGCCGCCGTTTACTCCACTGCCTCGGTGATCACTTCCTAGCCCAGTCGAGTAATTGTGAACGGGAGGCAACATGGCCCGGGTGTCAACGCTGCAATCCTCTAATACCTCATTAATGATAGAAGCTAGCAACGTCGCTTCAAATAGACCAAAAATAGTCTGAAAAGCGTCTGTCTTCCTGAGCACAAGAGCAAAAGATGCAATATTGTATCATGGATACTTTCCACGCAAAACCCGCAATAGACGCAATTGACATCCTCTCTCGATCATCCTCTTTCTTGAATTCGTGCTTTTGCCGCGATCGCGCGCCCAACTAACATCTCGTCTACTTTTTTTTGGAAGCCGATGGCTGCTGCTTCGAGTTTGAAGTAGTCGCGTCTACTTCAGGTGCCGTGTCAGGCACGGGGGGAGCTGGTGGGCTGTCAACAGGGGTCTCATCGCCGCTGGGCGTGGGGGGTAGAGGGGGCTGAGGACCTACACCCGCGTACGGCGGGAAGCTACCGTGAGGTGGCGAAAAGTAACTCCGGGGGTTATATCCAGGCTGCTGGTAGCCGTAGCCACCGCGTTGGCCACCCATCATGCGCATATTCTGCTGAGGCATCATGGGAGGGTACATCATGGGCACTCCATTGGGTCCCATCGGCACTCCGTAGCCGTAAGGAGGCATTCCCATCTCCCCGCCTTCTTCTCCACCCAAACTATCGTACATCCATTCCTCCTGCATCGGTGGAGGGTATCCCATACCAGGGTGAGGATAAGGCATGTGACCAGGCGAGCCGCCACGGTAGGGCGACGACACATGCTCTTTTACTGCCGGTGGCACTGTGAAGCTCGGAGTGAACTCAGCTGCTGAAGCGTTCAGCTTGAATTCCTTGGCGTTCGGGTTCAATCCCTTCTTCGGAGTTGCCTGTGGTGTCTCTTCCTTCTTCGTGGTTGCGGTAGTAGTCGTCTTGGACGTCGATTTGCTCTCAATTTTGGGCTCATTCTTGCTCTCCGTCTTCTCCTTACCACTAGCAGTGTCTTTCTTCTTCGGACTTCCCTTCGATTTAGCTGCAGCGGGCTTGGCGTCCTTACCGTTTACTTGTACAGACGGCGTCTCTTTCTTTGGGGAAGCAGCGACCACTTTCTTCTCATCTAGCTGACTTTTTAAAGCTTCCTTAGGTGCAGCGGCGGCTGATCGACCAGTAACCGCTTCACTAAAAGACAGAGGCTTAGGCGCAGCCGGTGGCGCCGGCGCAGGAGTTCCAACAGGGGGTGCCGGCTCTGAAGGAGGAGCTGGGACTGGCACCTTCGTCTGAGACTTGCCACCGCTGGATTGGCGCTGCGCGTTCCTCATGGCCGGAGGCACATACGCGTCACCATTTGGGGGAGCGCCTCTGCGATCCACGGAGCTGTACCGAGCCTCTTCATCCATGTCATTCGCGTGCTTCCCGCCACGCGCAGCCTGTCCGCGTTCCTCCTGCAGATGGAAGTTCCCAGCAGCCGACTGACGCTCAATCTCCTGCGCCAGTTTCTCAGCCGCACGTGACTGCTCTGTGGAGATCTTGGTCTTGTCCAGCTTGGTCGTATAAATATTCTCGTCATACGTCGACACGACGCCGAAGAGCTTCTCGTTGGCTTCGAACTGGTTCCAGCCATGGCTCTTACGTCGGCCATTGGACGATGGGTCCTCGAGGGAGCCAGTGTCCAACGCAGGGTCCAGCCACGAGCTGGCAGCCTCCAGCTCCCGTCCGAACAAATGTTCTCCCTTCTGTCCGCTGATCTCCGTGTCTGTGCGAATTCCACCCGAGGCTGCAGCTCCTGGCGCGAACACGCCGTCTGTGTAGTTGACCGAGCCGTCCGCTACCAAATGCGCCAGTTGTTGGCGTCTGAAGATGACGGTACTGCCGTCCTCAAACGGCGTGGCGTTTTGCCCACTACTCAGTCGCTTTGTGCTCTTCAATACCACCGAGAAATCGTCCGGATCCACGCAGTCCAAGATACCAACATATCTATCGTCAGACGCAACGAGCTGCAGCTCCACAGCTTTGCCCACTAGGAAGCGGAACGCAAACAGCGCACGATGCCGCAGCAGTCTCAAATGCCCGTCTGCAATGCATGTTCCAAGCGTAAAAATATTACCATTATTGTCAATAACATGTTCGAAACTTGGACGGAACACAACCTACCGCTGAAGCCAGATGAGGTAGGCTTGGGAGGGCTGGGAGCGAAGCCGGGTGGGGGCGCGCTAGTTGCCGCGGGTTTAGGGTTGCCCCAAGGACCGGAAAGTGGTGGCGGGACAACGGGTCGCGGACCGGCGGCCGCGGGCTCAGCAGCTTCCTTGCCATTGCCATTGCTTTTGGGCTGCTGCGGTTTCTTCTTCTTGCCCTTGGAGCCGTTGCCAGCGCTGTTATTCTTGCGGGAAGCCGCCTGACCGCCCGATCTTGTCGTCGTGGTCTGCATGGGGCAGTGAAAGAGAGACGAGAAGAGAGGGGGGGGGGCGCGTGCAGGGAGCCTCTCCGCAGCGGCTTGAGTGTCGGTCGCTGGCTTGAAGCCTCTTTTGGCTGGACACTCTCGCCGATATCCCCCTACCGCCAAGTTGCGAGTTAAGGGTGAACCTATTTTGAACAACTTGTGTGATGCACATGAAAAAATGGCTTGCGATTGTTTTTTTTTACTGTACTGTACATGTTAAACAATCGCAAGCTATTTTTTCAAGTGCAAAAGAGCTACCGGTATCTACAATGGACACAGCCGCTAATTCAATAACCTACCGGTATTTAAATAAATGTACTACGCATAGTACAGTACCGGTACTTGTTTCTTGTTAAGAGCACATAAAGGCGTGTACCGGTACTGGCAGTACTATTCTCCACAATAATTGCACCATCACATGACGCTCTGCCAGACCGCCGATTGTCTGGGGTTTCCTTGTTCCGCCCGCCCACCTCCGAACTCTTCAATTCGCGGCAAGGAAACGTAAAGCTAAAACGTAAAGCTAATAGCCCAGCCCAATGTCGTCGTTCCCCGCCATAAACGACACTCGCTACAAGCCCGCCACCGCCTTCTTCCTCAACTGGCTGCTGCGTGCTCGCGGTCGAGGTCGGTATGGCGGCAAACGTGCAAACCTAAAGACACTTCACATTGTAGTCATGGAGGTCGCACGAGATCCTTCGAACCTGACTCCCAAGCTCCTACACGACCTGCCCAAGGCCCTCGCAGCCTGTCAGTGTGCCATCACCCTTAGGGAGCGCGTGGCCGCGTTCTTCTCGGACGACGACCACGGCCACCAGCACTTTTTGATGCTGCTCAAGAACTGACATGACGCTCTATCGAATCTGGCGGTGGAAGGTGAAAATGTGGTGGAAACCGGGGAGAACGCCAAGTTTGAGAACTACTACGAGGTGTTGAAGATGGACGAGGGTTATTTCCCAGATGAGGGCGCGAATGAGGCGGGCATTCCGAAGAGAGCGAAGATCGACAGAGCGCGGCTCTTTGAGGAGGCCTTCACCAATGAGTTGAGACTGGAAGTGGGCTATTTCTTCGTGGAACTGGATGAACTGATGGAAAGCGTGTGGAGAGTTTACGTAGACGTGAAGAGAGAGAAGTGTACGATGGTGGAGGCGACGGTGGTCGTGAAACTGGTCATGGATGCGGCAAGTGCGTTGACGGCCCAGCTCCAGCTGAAATATCCGTCGCTCACAGCGGCGAAGCAGCTGTTTAACATCGTCCAAAACGAAGCTCCGGAGTCTTTCAGACGTGTTATGTTGGCGATTAATGAGAAGTTTCTATGGGACCTCAAGGAGTCCCAGGACAACGGGGATGGTGTGGTCCCGTACATCCCTGACATGTTTATCCTGGAGTATCTTAGTGTAGGAATGACTTCAGACGCATACTTTGGCCTGTAACGAGAAGGAGTTAACGATCCCGGATGGGTACTTTGGTGAAAACCACGGTGGGGAGAGAACTCCGCAATATGTGTCGATCCCAGACCCCGTGAACAATAAAGTGTTCCTACTTCAGCAACTGCCGCTACTCGTCAAGGTCATTTTCCACATAAAAGCCCAAAGAGGGTATGGCTTCGAGTCGGAGACGCAGTTGGGCTCGTTTACGACCCTGATAGAAGAGATGCTGACCTCCGGAGAGGTGACTATACCCGTTGTTTTCGCGTGCATGTGCTGGATGAAGTCGGTGGCAGCACTGCAAGGGAACGCAGGACTGGGTCGCAACATCAGTCTCACGTTCAAGCATTCGACCCAGTTGATGAGAAGTATCGAGGCCACAGCGGCGAAGCATAGTGTGGGCAATGAGAAGACGAATGGTTTTTTGCACCAATGTGCAGAAGACAATCAAGTACTTCACTCATCTCCGCTTTTTAGCTCGTGCAAACCCGCTTTTCGCAGGGCTCATGATGCTGGATCACCACTTTATGCATCTGCAACTCGCCCACGAAGCTGCACTCTCTGGGTCGACGCTGCGACTGTTTGGACACCTCTACAATGCGCTGGTGAAAGAAGGCTACCTGCAGCTTATCTCAATGATCGACGACATGTTGGAGATCTACAACGAATCAGTCTTCGCACCGTCTCAAGCAGCAGCAAAGCATGGCTCCTACTATCGCACCTACCTGCGTAGCTTAAAGCTGAGAACGCCCGCAGTCGATGCAGCGTTTCGGGCAGCAAAAGGGAATGCGAAGGCGCCAAGCGAGCTGTACTTCAACACTTTGTCCCAGACCTTCCGACTGGTGAAGTTAAACGACAAGTCCGAGTTAGGAGGCGCCTCATGGCCTGCTATACTGGAGGGCACTGCGAAAGTTTGCTCCGCGGAGCTGTTCGAGTCGCGCGTACAGTCACGAGATCTGTTGAGATTGAACGACGACTTTGGTGATGTATTCTCCGAGATATGTCGCGTGTTGGAGCAGCGTGACTTTTACAATTTTGCTGTTGCTCACGATATGTCTGGACGACGCTAGGAAACCCAGACTTCGGATCGAGCGGCAACCTTTATGCTGCAGCTTCTTGATGCGATGCAGCCGGGTGTAAATGTGCGTCTAAGGCTCGGGGGCATGCCTGGAAGACCTGTCAGTTTTGATACAGCTACGGATGTGTGCAAGGAGATTGCTGCTATGATTGGCAACAGATACGCGGCTTTCGATGTCCGTGAGGGAAATTTTTTAATTTTCCACCCCAGCCAGATCTCGTAACACAAGAGTATGGCTCGGTGTCATTCAAGAAGCCAACAATGAACGAGAATCGCGAGCAAGTATTCGCAGATCTCATGGCGATGCTGGAAGGAAGTGATGGGCCGCTTTCAGAGAATAAATTGAGCTATCTGAAGGAGGAAATCAGGAAGGATCCGCTATTACTGGGAGTAGTCGAGGGCGCTGGTACTCCCGCGGAGTATAGCGCCCTTTGCACGCTACTGCACCAAGCCGCAGCTGGCCCTGCACACAACTGCGAACTGGTGGAATGGATGGCTCAGATGGGAGCGTTGCTCAACCAGCCTCTGCACTGCCGTAAGGAACCACTGCAAAAAGACCGCGTATCTCCAAGGGATGCTCTACCGAACACCATGGCTGTACACAGTGCTGCGATTGCAGGTAATGAGCACATCGTGTCACTTCTGCTTCAGGCGGACAACATGGTGGACTTGAACACGCCGACCTTCCACTCAAAGGAAACGCTTGTGCATTTGGCAGTCAAGAACGGAAATCGAAGCTTGTTCAGTACTATATGGTGGTTTGGAGCTGATCTAGGTATCAATACGGGTGACGGAAGACGCGTGTGTGATTTGACAGACGATGAAGATTGGGCTCGTGAACTTGCGACTTCTTTACCAAAGTCTGTTGGACCGAGCTCAAGGAGGCATAAGAATCAACTCCGAGCAGAGCTCCACAGCTGGGTAGCCACTCAGAAAGAAACGAAAAATCCCGGGGTAACGACCAGATCGGATGGGAAGAAAACGAGCAAAAAAGGCAAGAAGAAAACCACCAATGAAGAATCAATGATCGCTAACGCTGCAGAACTCAAGCATATTCGCTTCGAGGAAAAGTCACGTTTAGTGACCAGCCTATTGGTCTCCGCCGGCCTCAAGCTCGATGCAAATACCGAGTCAACGAGTATAACGACGCTGGAGGAACTGCTCATGAGTTCCTTGCCGGCACTTTTTACCCGTCTGCGAGACACAAACATATGTGCCAATGACAAAATTGACGACGTTCAGCACGCAACTAAGGTTATTGAAGAGCTGATGGCGCACGTCCAGAGGTTCTCGGATCGAAGTAGGATCAACTCCACGCTTTCCAACAAGCGAAGTCTCATTGCTGCCACAGCTGCACACTGCATTCAAATGATGCAGAGATTTTATCGAGTGGACGATGCTGCACTCAGAGGCCCGGAGCTGGCTGCCATTCGAGAGCTTTGTGCTGTGAGTATACGCTATACGAAGTTTGTGGTCGGGACAGCGCAACTTCTCATCTCCGTCGACAAGGAAGCGCAAGCACGCCATGTGTTGGAAGTACTGGAAAAGCGTTTACTGAAGATGCCTTTCGCTCAACGAAATCTCGTAAAATTTCGAGAAGTTGTGGAAACTTACTCAGCTGCGAGGGAGGAGATGGGCTTCGGACAAACATCAAGCTCTGACGCGTTATCTCGCCTGGATTGGTACCTGACTAGCGCTGTGGGCGATTACCAGCTACAGCTGATTCTTGACAAGCTCGTCGGTCAAACCTTCTACTGTGACTTCGTTCTTTCTGTCGGACCAAGCGACCATCAATTTAAGCTTTTGACGAGTGCGATTACTGCGACTCCCGAGCTTAGTGGCGTTGTCTGCTTTCCCAAGAATGACAAGCGTATCATCCACGGTGGCCCCAGTAAAGCTGATTTAGCAAAGACGCGCGCTGTCGTGGGCCGTGTTGTCGATGACATGGACTTACAGTTTGACGAGGATACGTACATCCCAACGATGCACCTCTGAGATCTGCTTGGGGTCATTTATGCTCTCTGTTGCTGGGGTCTTTCGAGCTGCTACGATGGCTTGAAAGACAATAAGAGTTTTGTCTGAGTTCGGATACACTATACGGAGCGAGCATCTACTTCGAAGTACTACATAGTATTAATTAAGGCAAAACTAAAACATGTACTTTATGATGTAGTAGAAAATATGTGGTCACATAATAACATCAGTCCACAATAGTTTGCGTGTATTTGCTTTTTTGTGCCAAGTCGCTTCAAATATAAACTAAGACTGTGAATATAGAGGTCCGTCCACACTGAATCCCAATCGCGAAATGGCGATTTTTTTATCATCTATCACGCTACGTGTACAGCAGTAATATTTCTAAAGGCGTATCTAGCGCTCGAGGATTTGTATCATAGTAAACAAATTGTAGACAGTGAGTTGAGTCTAGTGTAGTGAAATGATTACACCGGTTAGAGAAATCACTTTATGCATGTGATATGTCA